CAGCATGGGAAATGCTTAGCTGGGTCTTCAACGCAATAGCGGGTGGGTCACCTACTTCCGACTCCAAGGGCAAATGTGTTGTCGAGTACAACTGCGGCGGACTATTCTTTTGAGCCGCACTACTCAAGGGTGTCCTGTGTGTTGCGGTGACAAACTCCATTGAAGAAATGACTTCAATGGAGCATATAATTACAATTGCCAAAGAAAAACAGTATCTTCTCTGCGAACCTGGTGAGTACGCACTTTAAGTTTAAATGTTATCTCACAAGCTCTGTATGCAGGAGCGTGGCCACCCCCAGATGCTGAAACGGCGTTAACAGCTACTGTTGAAGATACCCATGTTGGGCCAAGCTCACAACCTGCACAAGGTAAGGTCATGTGAGGCCTCACGCCATTTTGATTATAGATCGTTGTGAATATTCAGACACGAGGACTGAAAAGCGCACTGGTGGCGCGTCGAAGAAGGACAAACAGACAAGCAATAGGAAAAAAGGAGGTACAAATTATATTTGCAATGGCGTGTGGTCTCATGCCATTCCTTGCAGGAGACACTTCTTCAAAGGCAAAACAGGCAAGCACCAGCCAAGCTCAAACTGACAGTGGTCATAAAAAGCGAAAGCACGTTGAACAGTTGTCGGGATCAGAGGCGTTTGATTCGAAAAGGAAGAAGGGCAACGAAAAGATGATAAGTAATGCCTCGCGGTTATGGCGTGTGTGCTCATACCATTCATTGCAGATCAAGGGCTGAGTGAAAGGAGCCAGTCACCACCTCCTGACTCAGATTCCTATGGCGGACTCCCCTTCCCCAATCTCAATGGAGAGGTACAAAGGATGAGGGATGCTTTTCAAGTCAGGGCCACGTTTTTCTCATCTCGTTGTCTTCGAAGGGTGCAAGAACGTGCAGAAACCATGTTAAGACAGTCGGGTGAGGATACGGTCCTAGGTCAAGCACTGAAACAGGCTATGGATGTCTTGTATTTTGAGATGGAGACTCGGCCAGATGATTTTCCCAAGATGGTCCTGGAAAAACAAGCCATCCAGCCTAAGCAGCCTATGGAAGAAATGCAGGAGGGGGATGAGGAGCCAGAGAAAGATAATGAGCAGGAAGAGCAGAAGGACGAAGAGGAGGACAAAGAAGAGGAGGACGAAGAAGAGGAGGACGAAGAGGACTTGGATGGTCCTCACAATGGTGACGATCACAATAACGACGACGACGATGATGACGACGATGGCCAGCCTGAGGTGGCCAAAGAGCAGCGGAGGAAGGTCATACAAGACAAACCATCAGGTAAATAATAGTACATCCATTCCTAACCTTTTACCATTTCTAACATTGTCCATGTAGGTCGCAGAGCAAATGGTAAGTAGAGATTATTCAGTTGAATTAAGATACAAACTCTAGCCTTTAGTGTCAAGGAAGGATAGTGCCAAGCAAGGGTCGAAACGTATGTCCAATCCTTCAGAATCAGCAGTGCGCCCAAGTGATATCGGTCCTAGTTCCTCAATAGCAGTTGATGGTAAATACAGTATAGTCGATTCAATGTGCTAATGAGTTTGTTTTTAGTAGCCAGTAGGGAGGATACCATCTCAATCGAAGGGAGATATTTGGACATGCATATGGATCCGCCAGTGAACTCTACTTGCCTGCAAGAGTCATCAGAGCTGGTGGAGGCTACTATCCATATCAACGCCAAGCAAGCTGACCACGCTCCACTTGATGCTGCCCATACCACTAAGTCAATCTTGTCCACGTATCCAACTGACGGTGACCAGGTGCCATTGGACCCGCATGAGGCCGCCCCAGCCGCCGAGCCAGTCGTATCCTCATTTCCAACGGACTCAACGTGTGCCCAATCGTCTGACTACGCGCCATTGGAACCTCCCTACACCACCCCTGCTGCCTGTTCGGTCATGTCCACTTTGCCAACGGAGGCACCAGCTGAAATGGCGTGTGATCACACGCCATCGGAACCACCCCATGCCACTGTTGAGCCAGTTGTACCAGAGTCTACAGCTGAAATGGCATGTGCCCATACGCCATCGGATGCGATTGAACCCACATTGCAGAGGAGAGTATTTCCGCCCTTCACGTTTCCTCGACCAGAACCCTCTCAACGACCATCGAGAGCACCATTCACTAATATTGTAGATGGTAAAATTGACTTGTACCATTTTTTATGCTGACGCATTTCATTTCAGAGTCACGGCGAAGGTACTATATCGTTTTTGATCTAAACGGTGTCCTTTTCTCCCATGAGCGTGGCTCGTCCTCGAATGTCACTGCACCCTCCAAAGCCTGTAGTCGCAAGTTGGTCAAAAGAGACAGATTCACATTAATCACACGGGAGAAACTGCGGGATCTAATAATGACCATGCGACACTTAAAACAGAGGGCCGGGTTCAATTTGCAATTGGGAGTTTGGACATCCATGATGCGCCACAATGCATTAACGTTGCTACAGATGATGCACGATCAGACACGAGTAATATTACCATTTGACTTTCTCCTAACGCAGGAGGATTGCTTGACTATGGTCCATGTGAGGGGTAGCAAGCCCATCTTCGTCAAGCCAGAGGCTGTAGTGATGAACCGGATTGCTAGGTCAAGTGAAATCCTCATCATCGATGACTCACCGATTAAAACTGCAGCGAACACGCATACATATGCAGTGCACCCCATCTCTTGTAGTATGGAAACTAGGCAGAAGAAACCGTATGTTCTGGGGGACCTTGCAAAACGGCTTGGAGCGATGGTGATAGAGAACCGGCCAGTCCAGGAAGTGGCTGCAGAAATCAACCAAATGGCAGATGGAACGGTATATCAGAAGCCATTTGATCGGACAAACACCAGTCATCATTTATAGCATGTATATTGTCTAACCAAGCACTATCCGCATCTCCATAATCTGCTCAACCGGATGGGTTCTTCGACCACTGAACATGAGCGTGGACGTATTAGAGAAGAGATGGCATTACTATTGGGTTTAAATCCTGATAGTGTGGAGAGTGATGAAATTCCAAGATTATTGTATAGGCGTTGGAGGCAAAAAATAACAGTCTGAGATGGCATGTATTTATTTAAAAATGTAACTTATTATGGCATGGGGTTCCATGCCATTGTATTAATATTAAAAGACAATTCTTTGAGAGGATTTGCATTATACTAGAAATGTTACAGCATGTTTTTGGAAGTCTACGAAGTTGTTTTATTAATAAGGGGAAAGTAAAGATTGAATGGGGACTTGGGCTCCACCTAGACTCGGAGCAACTAAGCCAATATTAAAAGGATGGAAAGAAATTGGACGACAATGACAAGGAGAAGAGAGAGGTGAAGTAGTGGCAGGGGGAGGAGAAGTGATTGAGTAAACATTTCCTTGTTTAAAATAAAATGGCATGTGCCTCAATGCAGTTGAATTTTGTTATATTTATATACTATATAAAGGTTTGGAAACCTTATTTTACAAGTGGGATAATGACAATTCCCACTTTAACGAAATAGAGCTTATTAAAGGAAAGATGTAAAGGTAAATTTTGCTAATGGTTACGAGTCTAAATTAATAATGATCTCAAAGGATCATTGATGGGCAAACTTAGAAATGTGATATATTCTTTGTTAAAATAATGCTTTATAAATTGTAGTGGCTTTTGAAATCCTTTATTTTAGTTTAAAATTAAGTCTTTGAGGTTGATTTGAGTATTTAGCAATTGCACTTGGAGTTATAATTAGTTCATTAAGATTCCTTGGTCAATTGATATTTGTGCCATGGCTTTAAGTTTTGTTTTATTCATGATTATAAACAATTATATTTGATGGTTTTATAGGTGCTTCAAATTCTTGTAGTAGTCTATAATCACCTAGTAAAAGTTTTAGATGTTTTATATAACTTATCATCATCAACTTTCCATCCTCTAAATGAAAGGATAGTGTAATGTCTGTATAATACATATATATATATATATATATATATATATATATATATATATATATATATACCATGGATCTAGGGAAATTTAACTCCATTATGATAATTTTAGAAGTATTAACTAAAATACTTCTTTAGTGATTGACATCTGGAATGATTGTAATTTGGATTGTATATTGATTTTATTACTTTTTAATATATAAATTTATATACATGATTAAGAGAATTAATCAAAATCCCATTATAAAATAGCAATAAGCAATTATATAGTTTTGGAAGGGTCTGAGGAGTAAGATTACAAGTTTTCTTTTTGAGGAGATCTCATTGGAACCACCCAGTCCGGTTCTTGAGGTTGGTCATTATCACTTCCAGTTGCTGGAGCTTTGTGGCACTTGCGACACAAAAACGCGGCAGAAACGAAGATGGCACAAGTGGTGACCATTCCACCCACAGCAATACCAGCACTTACTTTTCTCGTTAGCTTCTTTGCGGGATGAGGAGGAGAAGCACTGGCTGTAACAGCACAAGCTCCACAACATATAAACTCCCTCATGGACGTGGAAAAGTCGCCTCTTGGACAGATTGGAGCCAGGCTGCCATGGAAGTCACAGCTGATAGTCGCATTGGCGAGCTGCAAAATCAAATTTCTCTCAACTGAAAAACAAAACAAAAGTTCCAAAAATTTGTACGTAACTGTCAAAGCGAGAGGAAGAGGCTTTTGCTGTGAAGGATCAAAGTATCGTTTAGATATAGCTTTCTCAACTGTAGGCTGGCCAAGCTCCGCGATTAGCCCATCAGCAAGAACATCTATACATGCAACTCCAATCAACTGTTGATTTGCATCAAAAGCTGCATGAAATTAAAATAATTACTAAGAAGAAGCAGAGTAATAAATAATAGTACTATACAAACCTGGAAAGATGGAAGTTGTCACATTGCCAAGGCCAGCAGAATCGGTATACAAACTCGCCCAAACTGGTTTCTTGTTGACAGCAACAAAGCGAACCCATGCAATGTAGTCGAAATAGCTGTGGACCTTGAGCAGCGGGTTTTTGTCGTCGTTGATGACCTCGTAGCTCATGTTGAGGCTGCTCTGCATTTGCTGGAAAGTGGCATCGTTGGTTGTGAAGGACCCGATTCTGTAGACAAACACTACAACACCTCTTGCGTTCAGCTGTGCCAAAACTGGGCTCAATTGGGTGAAGTTGAAATTGCCAGGGGTGACAAACTGTCCATCTGTGAAGAGGATTATGACCTGGGATTTGGAAAGTTGAAGAAACCAATGTGATTTCTTGTGATTATCACACGAAAAGCATCTTACATTTAAGTTGGAGCTGGTGTTGAAGAAATCAAGTGCTGCTTGCAGCCCATTCTTTATGTTACTGGCTGAGTTTGTAACACTTGTGTTGCTTATGGAATCTTTGAGGGATGAGATTCCAGCCAGATCCAAAGAGGTTTCCTGGACGCCAAGAACTACGGAAACCTGGATTTCAGAACCTCATGATCAGAAGTTATCCTTGTCTCTGATGAAAAACTTAACTGGAGCTCCGATTTTCTCACCACCAATTGTTGACACAGCCACTTGATCTCCATTCGTGAGGGTGTTTAGCAGCTTTTTAATGATGTTATTTGCAACATTAAAGCGGGTTTGGGAGGATAAAACTCCAGTGGGATTGCTCATGGAAGTGGAGGTTTCCAAGAGAATGTAGAGCGATTTTTGGACCGCCAAAGCATTGAGAAACCATGGCCTGAGCCTTGGATCGTAAATATCACACTGCCAACTGTCGACATAGTCCTGTCAATATGAACACATTTATAAGCTCTCGCTTGCAGGGAAGAAATGCTTAGTGTGCACTTACCCGGCCTGGGTAAACATACAAGTATCCTTCAATCCCTCCAAAGAATGCCCAGCCAAGGGAGAACTTCCTCGTGTTATCCCAGGCCTGTTGTAGCTTCTTATCTAGAGATTTCTGAGCACACAAGACCGTCTGAAAATCTCGATCTTTCTCCGGAGCATCGGGTGGGACTCTGGATGATCATATCAACATCTCAAGTCAAAGCTGTAAATTGACAAACTAAATACCTGAGATATGTTCTTTGACTTGAAACGCTTAAGCTCTGGCAAGTTCCATTTGCCTGAGACGTGCAGTCTCCATTGTGGAATACTCCAAAGCAAGAGAGCTTTTGGATCTCATCCTTGGATTGCGGCCAGCAAGGGCGCCTTGTGCAAGTGTTGAGTGAGCAATCCGCTAGACTTCCTGTGACAATGCTCTACAAAGTTGTTTGAGCCTGAGCTTCAAGAGCTTACCACAAGTACTGGCTCGATTTAAGATTGCTTGATTCGCGATTGCCTGGACCTGGAAGTCGGTCTCGTCCAGCACCGTTTCGATGTTATCTTGAGCGTTTGCTAGCAGCAAAGACAAGACTAATAAAAAGGTGGATCTAAGCAAGAGATAGTCCTCCATTCGCTCAAACCTGCAAAAGTGGTGGCGTTGATTTTCTCAAGCTCCTGGAAGCAAGCGAACCAACATCTTGTTGATTTTTATGTGACCAGATCAAAGCTAGCCTAAACCGTGTGGACTTACGTATTGCCAAGATCACCCATCCTCATAGGAGACGAGGCAACTTCGGGTTGGAGCTTCAATTGACTTCAACAGACGTCCATTGACTTTTTAAAGGGACGAAGTCATTGTTGCTAATAAGTTTACTCGCAGGCTCGGCCAAGTTTCTGTTGTACAGGAAGCAAACGAAGCAAGACTCTCTTTCAACCAGTTATGTTTGGTGACCAATTTTCTTTTCTGTGGCGATTTTGGCAGATCCGGACCAGTCTTGTTCAGCCCCGATGGGAGTTTCACTCGTGGTAGGCGAGGAGCACTTACAAGAAAACTACAGCAAAAGCAAGAACTGCCACTCCCACGCAAATACCAGCAATGCCACCAACTGCCAATAATCGCCACACATGAAATATGTGGTCAGTGTCAAAAAAATCTCTTTGCAGGCAAATGGGAAAAACCACAGTTGATAATAGTTCCATTCGAGACCTGCTGGTAATGTCAGCGACAAGTTCTCTGGTTGGGTGAGAGGGAGAGGCTTTACATTCTCTAAAGAATGGAAGCTCCGTGTAGACACTTCTTCTTGAACAACAGCTCTGCTGAGCTTGCTGATAAGCTTCTCAGTAGTAATGTCAATGCATGCAACTCTAATCAAATGCTGATTTGCATCGAATGCTACAGCAGTAACCGCTGCAGTTTGATCACATATCTTGGTGACGATCAAGTGAGAGCCAATGCCTTCCACTGGGATAAAGGTATTGTCGCTTAAATGAAGACTAGGTTTGCCAATGCTTAGTTGATAACACTCAAAAATATTCTTCTTATTGTCCAAAAGATTAGTACAACTAGAGTCTAGGAGCCACCTATTTAGTGCTATAATTGCCTTTGCATTGTAAAACTCCTCATTAGCCTTGCTGTAACAGGTTAGGTTTTGGAGCAATGGAACTTGAGTCAGTGGCCCATCTCCAAGCAACAAGCATATTGATTCTTGGCAAGTCTGGGCTTGGCATGCCCAAATACCCTAGAGTTTTTCCCTTTTGCATATAGTTTTGCCACCTAGGCATCATTTGGAGCTTTTGAAGTGTATATAGCCTATAACATTTCCACTCTCGTGCTCCATATAGCCTCAATGTTTTGCAGACACCTCAAAGCATTTGCCCAAGTCATCCTTGGTTGGAGAACCAAAATTGCAATTGCATTCTTCTAGCTAGCTTGTAGAGCTGCATATGTGAGATAGTGCTTCACCCTAGCAGCTGCAGGTCGTGTGAAGAAGCCCTTGATTTTAGATATTACTATTAAGGGAGTGAATATGTTAAGAGGGAAGCCTCTCAACAGTGGAGAGAACACTTTTTTATTATACTTTGAAATTCTGCTTGAATATATCTTTTATGTGAACTCATTGCCTAGAAAATGAGGAAGAAGGGGAATATATCCTTGCACTTCACACCCCTAGAATATTCCAACAGTGGAATATTTTAAGGAATCTCGCCCAACTCTAAGCCATGGATGTTGAAGACATCCATCTAACTCTCATATGGCCTCTTTGATAAGCATTGAGTGGTTGAGGTGGAGTGGTCTAGGCAAGATATAATATTAGATAAGATGATTAAAACACTTTTGTGGGATTTAACACTTTTGTAGGGTTTATTATACAATAATTTTACAAGTTTATGCAACAATAAATATAATGACATATAACTATGAAAACTCTCTTTTATATATAACATGCAAGACATGCCTCTCTTTACTGTACTAGCAGTATGCTCCAAATACAAATGCATGGGAAGGGTGTTATGAGACATGTGTCCAACCTCTAGCATGACTGTGAGGTGCAACATGACCTTGTGTTCAAACTCAAAACCTTTTGTACATGCAAAGGTGAAAGGCACATGTACACTACACTAAACATGTATTAGAAGTTGTAAATAAAATTCATGTCATCTGCAATATCCATGTGTCCTTGTCAATGGGGCCCGTCATATTTATCCTCTAAAAAACTATAGAGATGTTAGTTTTGACATGCTAAAACATTGGTACAGAGTAATTCAAAGAGAGTGGGTAATAAGAGGGAGGATTATGAAACTATAGTCTAATTTTGTGCCATGCAGATTCATAGTCTACAAATCTGCACCTCGAAATCATTATTGGTTGTAAGCTTTATATCTTATCCATCATTTCTAGCCTCGTATTTCTCTAGTGTGAGTGTGCCATCATTGTACCAATATGATGGACTTGAGCTGAACTTGAACTTGAGAGGGAACATATAACTTAAACTCCATAAACAACTTGAGTTATCTTGAAATCAATTGAGATACACCATACTCACTTGTTCTCCATCTGTGTAGCACATACAATTTCATAGGCTACAAAGAGTCCTTGAAGATGTATACTCCTGAATCCCATGATGTTGTGAAATCAAGAGGAGCATACAATCTCCACTAACAGTGATATTGTTGATGCTATGGAATCCACTCCTCATTGCTGTGGCTAATCCCCTTCAACTGGGATCATTGTTTCCAACTTCCCATCAAGCCATGCAAGTGTATTATTGCTATGCCAATTCCACAACCTTATACCAATATAGATATACCTTTGTCCCTATCTATCTAAAGTTCATGACCAAAGGTGAACTACAAATCTGGGCTAAAGCTAGATTTCCATAGCAAACTAGTCTGATGTAATTTGTTATGCCCTTCAAAGCACTTCAAACATCAATTAATACCTTAAATATCAATTGGTAGTGTTCCAAGTGCTTTCATCGTGGTGAAGCCACGACCAAGGCAAGAAAGGAATCAGCCAACACAACCATATTATACAAATTGGAACTTCAGTATATTGTCAATGTGTTCCATTGCCAATTGAACCTGTGTGAACAATCTAAAGGTGGAGAAGTTCTACATGTAGTTATAAAGGACCAATTTAGAAGTGAAGAATAATATCCTTTACATGTAATATAAGGGTTCTTGTCAAAATACATAATAAAGTGTCCTTTCCTTTGATAAAGTTTGGCTCTTCAAACCCAAAACTCCAAAATATAAAATCTATACTTCTTCCTTGAAGGCAAAAGCCCCAATCTTCCAAACTCATATCTAGCCCTAGGCCACCTTTTAAACCCTAAACCTTTGTCATCAATCAAAACTCTTGAACCATTGGATCTTTATAAAATTTCATTAGTGTATTTTGCTTGAGAACCTCTAGTTTTTCACCATTACAATTTGCAATAGGAGACATGAAAGTTTGTCCAAACCCTAGTGTAGCACACGTGATTTTGACCCTTTATCCTATGGTGATTTACCATAGGATAACACCCACGAAGTGGAACCCCAACCCTCTTTATGCCACGTGACACATGCCACATGTCATATGCCACATGTCCAAAGGATAGTGGTGTGGAACCCGAGGTTCAAGGCCTTGGGCCATTGAACGAAGAAACGATGCTAAACTCCCAAGCATGGAGCCAAGGAGTCACTAAACCGGACCATGGAGCAACTCCCAAGCATATAGCCCAAGGAGTGAAGGGACAAGAGCCTGGAGTGACTTAGAACAGTCCTGGAGCAACTAGCATCCCAATGCTAGGACTAGCACGCAAAACTGAGCCAAACGGAGTCTGGTGCTATTTCGGCATACCGGTGGCCTAATGCAAGGACATGGGTACTCCACCAGCTAGCATGGAATGGAACTTGGGCTTAGACCCAGGCCGGACGCAAAACAAAACTTACCCACTATCCCTACTATACATTTGGAACCCCCTACATAGCATTCATGCTAACCATCGCACTAGCCAATCTGAATAAATCCTGGTCAACAATACAAAAAAACTCAAGTTGCTTAAGTAAGTGTCAACAACATCTTACTGATGTCTCAAACCCAAGAGACCAATCCAAAGCAAACCACAAAGAACATATGGTATTGCGAAGAGCCATAAGTCACCAAGGAGAACCACTAACTATCATGAAAGATCATTAATCATCCCATCAATAAAAGATATGCATAATCATCATCAAAGAAGAAATTCACCATCCCAAAAAACAGTGAATCATTTTATATTAACAATAATCAAGCAAAACCTTTTGACAAGGACAATCAATTATCCTAGATAATAGTCAATCATCACCAAGGATTGCTAGATGCAAGAGCCAACTTCAACATCGAAGCGAAAAAGCCAAAATGCCTTCCCCAACAACTTTTAGCAAATGGTCCACAAGCATGAAAACTCAAGGAATCAAAAACTTGAAGAAGCCTATAGCCAAATCTTGCTTAATAATGACCACAAGTCTTGCATGAACTAAATTCAATGCTATTGAAGAAATCATGGTGCAACCCACAATATCTTCCTCAACACATCCATAAGCTAAACTTCATAATGCCAAACCTAATGAAAAGCATGTCTATATCAATCCAAAAGCTAAGCATAACAAAGCTATGCTCAACAAGTGATCACCAAACGATCCTCCATGAATCCATCTATAGCAAAACATAACTCACTTCATAACAAACATAAGAAAAATCATCCATGATTCATATATTCCAACTCAAATCTAATAAGGATTCAAACATTCCAACATCAATCACTAACTCTTCCACTCATAGAGTTAGCATAGTCCATGATTAAATCACTTTTCAAGGAAAAACTCAAAACTCAACCCCCTACTAAATAATCTCGTCTAAAACACAACTAACTCAAACTTGCCACTCAATTCGTTTGAACGTCAACATAGTTGCTAACAAATGCACGAATGCCAATAACACTAAGCCATAACCAAATCATCAACACTATTTTCATTAAGACTAATGAAACTTAACATCAATCTTTTGAAGAGACATCTCATTTCACTCAAATCTCAACATCAACAATGTCAACAACAAGACATCATTTTAATACCATCAACACCACAACAAAGCTAGAAGAAAGCATGAGTGAATCACCACCCAAAACTCTTTAGCAACTAAGTTAACCAAAGTTGAAGATACTATACTTAGTATCCGAGACTAGTTCTTTAACAATACTCAGCTATAGATAACACTTCATCAAGGAATGAATCACCACATTCAAGACTTAATGAAATCCAACACTACGAACTAAACGCAACTAAATGATATCAACAAAGGTAAAGTCAATATGCCAACATAGAAAACCCATGTATGACTAATGACATGATCCTTCGCAACACTATCTGGTAAAGTAAACTCATCACTAATAAATCTTCATTGAGTGAAGCAAGTGTCATAGTCTTTGATAAAGTCTATAAGCAACCACTAGTTGCAAAGCAACCAACAATCACTCTTCAACTTGCTTTCACGAGACCCAAACACTAAACTCATGCCATCGAGTCATATACTTGTCCAACATGAACGTGATACCCCAGGTATGAGATAAAAGTTCATAGGCAAGCACAAAATAAATGACCACTCGAATCCAACTCAACCACAATAAGTTCACTAATGCATTTAGCCAATAGCTCTGAACATACCTTGAAGACACTAGCTATGCATGATCAACACTCAGTCAAAACTAAAGAAGACCATGAGATGGACTCATATCGGTACACAACCTCCTCATAGACAAAGGTATAGTACGGGTACCAACATCTCAACCTCAAGCAACTAAGTTGGACATCACTATCTTAAGCCAAGGTGTAAAGCCACTAAGACTAAGTTAAGATCAGTGAGAGTTCACTACTCTCATAGAGTTTAACAAAATGCAAAGTGCAACTTGCCACCAAGCATAACGCTACAAAAAAAAAGCACAAGGGTCACCTTTCTAGAAAAATGCAATGGCCACTTTTCTACACCAATTCCAAACTCTATCCAACTTAATTATTTTAGCCCCAAACTTTAGCATCCCTTTTAGGTCGCATCATACAAACAACCTACTAAGATCTAAGCAAAGTTAAACTCCAACCCTTTCACTAATTTGTACTAACTTACAAAAACAGAATGGTTTTCGAGCAAAGTGATCAATAGATCAGCTATTAAAAAAGCCTAAGAAAATTTGTGGAAAATATTTCAT